GGTGTAAATCCACGTGAGCTCACCAAGAAGCCACTTAATTGTGAGCGAGTTACTGTCCTGGTGTGCGATGCTCGGTAATCGGGATACATTGGTCCTTATTTTTTTGAAAGAAAAACGAAACGCGCAGTTACGCGTGAATGGAGCTCGTTACAGGAAAAAACCAAATGAAATTCCCCCCGGAAAAGGAAAATTTTTTTTTCCTTTCCAAGACTCGAAGAAATGAACCGTTTAGGAACGTGTGGGTTTCAGCAAGATGGAGCCACAGCACACACAGCACGAGACACAATGAATTTGTTGCGACAACATTTCCCGAACCGCCTTCATCTCTCTCAGAGGCGATCTCCAATGGCCGGCACCTCTCCAGATTTGACTCCATGGCGATTTTTTTATGGGGTTATTTGAAATTCACTGGTTTATGTCGATCGACCAACGGACCATAGCACACCTCAAGAAACAACACTTCCGCGACGCCATTTGGCCACATACCTGATTGATATGCTGCAAAGAGTGGATAGACTTTTCAAAAATCGACCTTCTATTCAGTGTAATGCGCAATGGAAAGGTCGCCATTTATTCCGATGCGTAATTTCAAGACTGCATGAAAAGAAATTTGGGGATATTTATTCTCAAATAAAAAAAAAATTAAAAACAATACTGAAGTCTTTTGTTTTTTATGACATTTCAAGATAAGTAAGTTTCTTCTGCCTGGCGCATTATCACTGTACTATTACTGCATGTGAGAAATCAAGTAAAAATACGTTTTTTTGTATATTTTTTGATAAGGGAAAAAAATACAAGAAAATTGAACCCCCCTTTATGTCATTTTTTCAATCGAGACAATTATCACCGCATCGCCACCCTACCAAAAGTTTAACAAAAAGGAGAAATTGAAAAAAGCGGCAAAAATTCCTCGAGATAAATGCCTGAGCTGAGAATAAATGAAAATTTTCCGGACTATGGAAAGCCTTTGTAAGTAATTTTTAACTATATTTTTTATTTTACAAGAAATTAAAGACAAATAAAAATAATAAAATGTGTACAACGCCGCTGAGTCGTTTGTTTATTTTTTTTTTTTTTTTAGAAAAAAAATTGAAAAGTTCGGGAGGGCGCCGTCCATGTAAGAGTACTCGCCCTTCCCACGAACTTGTAAAGAGTTTTTTTTTTTTTTTTTTTTTTTGCAAAATCGCCTTGGAGTGGAGGTGCAGATTAGCGGGACCTGAGGGAACTATATTTATCTCCAATTCGTAGTGAAAAGAATAAAAAAAAATATCCTAGTCGTATGTTTAGCGCGCGCTAGTGGTGTTGAGGATGAGAGAGGATGAGGAGAGAGGAGAGGTGAGCGAAGGAGGAGAGTCAGAAAGAGGGAGGAGAGAGGGAGGAGGGATGAGAGGGAATGGAGAGAGGTGAAAGTGCAAGAGAGGGAAGGAGAGAGGGAGAGAGAGATCGGGAGGAGAGAGGGAGGAGAGGAGGGAAGGAGAGAGGGAGGAGAGAGGGAGAGAGAGAGGGGAAGGAAGAGAGGGAGGAGAGTAGAGAAGAGATAGAAGAGAGAGGAAGAGAGATGGAGACGCATCAGGGACGAGAGAGGAGAGAGAGGGAGATGAGAGGGAGAAGGACGGTGAGGGGGAGAAGAAGAGGGAGAGAGGGAGAGAGAGGGAGAGAGAGGGAGAGAGAGAGCCAGACAGACTCACAGACACAAAGACAGACAGACTCAGCAGACACAAAGACAGACAGCCCACACAGACAACAAAAGACAGACAGACACACAGACCAAAGACAGACAGAACACACAGACACAAAGACAGACAGCACACAGACACAAAGACAGACAGACACACAGACACAAAGAACAGAGACACACAGACACAAAGACAGACACACAGACACAAAGACAGACAGACACACAGACACAAAGACAGACAGACACACAGACACAAAAGACAGACAGTAACACACAGACAGCAAAGACAACCGACACACAGACACAAAGACAGACAGACACACAGACCCAAAGACAGACAACTCACAGACACAAGACAGACAGACTGCCACAGACACAAAGACCGACAGACTCACAGACACATAAGACAGACAGACTCACACAGACAGCAAAGACAGACAGACCACAGACACAAAGACAGACAGATACACAGACACAAAGACAGACAGTGGACACCACAGACACAAAGACAGACAGATACACAAGACACAAGAACAGACAGACTCAACAGACAGACCGACAGACAGACTCACAGACAGCACAGACTCACAGACACAAAGAACAGACAGACTCGACACAGAGACAGACAAGACATCACAGACCGCAGCACGGAGAGACTGACTCACAGACACAGAGAGAGACTGACTCACAGACAGCAGAGAGAGAGCTCGACTCACAGACACACAGAGAGAGACTGGAACTCACAGACACAGCGACAGAACTGACTCAACAGACACAGAGACAGACTGATCCAGACACAGAGACAAGACTGACGCAACAGACACAGAGACAGACTGACTCCAGACACAGAGACAGAACCAGACTCACAGACACAGAGACAGACAGACTCACAGATACACAGAGACTAAGACAGACTCACAAGACGACAGAGACAGACAGACTCCACAGACACCAGAGAAGAACAGACTTCACAGACACAGAGACGACAGACGAGTCACAGACAACGGACAGACAGACCCTCCAGACAAAACAGAGACAGAGCAGACTCACAGACACAGAGACAGACAGACTCACAGACCACCAGAGACAGACAGACTCACAGCTCTGCAAAGGATAAGAAGAGAACCCCTGACGGGTAGTTTCACGTGTCCCGGCGTACCAAGTAGCAATTGAAGGGCAACGGATAACAGAAAATGAGAGTTCTCTTCCAGCTAAATTTGCGAAGGCGACACAAGAAGGGACCTTCCTTCACCCAGCGGTGCCAGCGAGATGAAAATATAGATGTTGCAATATCTATCCCTCTGCGAGCAGTACACAGAATATATTGTCGATCGCGTCCTTCAGTCCGTGTTTCGGGAATGATGTGGCGCGGACATACAGACTCACAGACAGACAGACTCACAGACAGACAGACTCACAGACAGACAGACTCACAGACAGACAGTCTCACAGACAGACAGTCTCACAGACAGACAGACAGGCGGACGAACGGATCTTTAAAAAAACAACTCTGGAGTATCAGGGGATTCCTAAACGTATTTCCATTGAAATGTCGAAATGGTTTTTCCGCAGCAATATAAACATCTTATATTACTGCGTGTATACGTATGGATGTGGGAATGTAAAAAGGAGAGTTTATTTCCTTATAATGTGTTGCGATATCTACAGTAACTGACAAGTTGTATTTTGTGTGAATACGCCGTAAATTACTACCCCCATAATTATTTTATCAATTGTGTATTTATTTAAGTCCCGCGTCAAATTTTGAGTAACCTCTCTGATCCAAGATATTCCAGCGAGTCAAAAAATATTCGGTCTAGCGGTGTTATTTGGTGCTCTGTGTAATAAATCGATTATAAGTGTTGTGCCCTATACAGTCGACTTCGGTTACAGTGACAGTTACATCGTACATTTTTTTTCATATTTTATCTAGATCCTTTTCCAAAGTTGGGTTTATTTCCCATACGTTATTCTGCGTTGTCCACTGGCTGTAAGTACCGTAATTCAGTCTTAACACCCTTCAATGCCTCTTGCACAGCTGGGACACCGTCCCACTCTCTGAAGGCCCTTTTTACTCCCCTAATAACATACGATATCCTTTTGGTAGCGGCATGGCGCAAGCGGCTAATAAAACGGATCGCATGTCCACCCGGCACGGTAGGTGGCGCTAGGCTCTGGGTCTGTGGCAGACGCGCGCTTCCTGTCTCTTAACTAGAACACGATAAGCTTTGTCCCGCGAAGTCTCAAATAACAAGAAGATTGAAACTGAAGCAAGCAATCGCGCGTCGCCGCCGCCACCAGTTGTAGCCCAGCCACGATACAACGTTCGTTTCCTTTTTGAAACTGAGCGCCTCAAGGTCGTCAGTAGGGTCCCATTTCCGGGTCCACTACCTCACCTTAGGAGAGACTTCTTCGATTATGACCGTTGGCCGACGACATTGTTCTCCAAACTGCCTAGTGTTAAAAAATGTGGCAATAATGTGAAATACTATTTTTCTGTAAGGAATTAATTCAGAACGTTGCATTTCCTATGTTCACTACAGCAGACGTAGAATTCACAATAACCTAATCTTCTTGTGCTTATTCGTAATGTAAATGAAACGTAACCAGCGACTTAAGTTCACTATCACCGAGAGTTCACTATATCCGAGTTCATTATAACCGGTGTCGACTGTACTTACACGAATGTTCAAGAAAGAAAAAAATTAAGTCTAAAAAGTGTTCCTGAAATTATTTAAAAGTTCTAATAGCAAGGAATACATTGTATTAGAGACGCAAAAAGGATGTCAAAAATTTTACTTTTGCAATTTTTGAGGTTTTAATAAAAATTGGACCCTTAGCACATTTTAGGTAAGCATTGCTCTATACAGAAAAAAATTGATGCAAACATTTAATCATACCATTTGACTCATATATACTTTTTGTAGAAAAAGGAAGGTATAATCATGCAGGATTTTCTTTTGTTAATTTTTTTCTTCAATTGAGCAAAGCATGCTGATAAAGATATCGCATTTATGAATTTCAATAAATTTTACACACTCTATATACAGCAGTAATGGTTTTGAAAGGATGATGACGTTCACTGAGGACATTTTCACTAAATTTTTACAATTATAACAAACATTAAATTCTGATTAAATACTGAATTAAAATATTACAAAACATATTGTATTTTCTGTCACGAAGATGTCACAGAACTAATTATTCAATACCAATACCAAAAGTTAAAAGCAACTTGTGGCAACTACGTCCATCGGATGTTATTTTGGACACTGAAGAATCTGATATCTAAATAAAGCAGAGGGCAAGTAAATAAACTTACTCCGAGTAGTTGAAGAGGCGGCTATCCCATAAGGCATGTTCACCTCTACTACCGTCGTGAAAGAATCCAGCATTTGTACCATCAAATTGATTCAAACCATCAAGTACATTCTTTGAAGCATGTGAATGAACAACATCCAGCAGAACCACCAAACCGTGAGAATGAGCAACATCAATGAGTTGCTTCAATTGTTCAGGTGTTCCATAACGGCTGAAAAGGAATAGAAAAATTAAGAATTATTCATTTAACAAAAAAAATTATACTAATTCCTGAAAATATCCACTCTCACGAAGGCTAAAACATAACAATAATATGAATAGTAATAATAATAATAATAATAATAATAATAATAAGCTGGGCCGATCCGATGGCCGAGATCGCTTAGGCAATAGTGCAGTGGGGGTCTAGGACCAAAGGACAGCCTTGGGTATGGTTGAGTTGTGTGTGTCTATTTCAACATTTATCATTATCATCATCATCATCATCATCATCATCATCATTTCATCCCAGGGCGAACAACCCTGAGGTATAAAAATGGAATCAGCATTGAAATGCACGTATCGCGCGGCCCCATGATGGCCGATTCGCGAAAAAGAAAACAATAATAATAGTAATGATAACAGTAATGTTAAAAGTAATGATAACAGTAATGATAACTCTAACTCGTGGACTGGACTGAGCAAGAAATTCGAATCGTGGATCGAAAAACCAGAAATCTGTTAACAATGCATCATGTCGCCCACAGCTGATGTTCATAGACTTTATGTGTCATGTAAAGAAAGAGGAAGAGGCCTCAGGCAAACTGAAGCCTCTTGGCACAATGCAATAGAGATGAGAAAGTATGTAGTCAGCCAATCTAGATGACCGAGTTAAATCTTAGAAATTAAAGAATAGGAAACAGAAGGATTGTAAGTGTAGCAAGAAGCATTACAAAAATGACCGCAAGACACGCAGAATAACAGACACACTGAACTTTTGATGCTACTTAACATGAAATATAAGATACAAAAAATGTTGAAGAAATCGTGGAGAGATAATCACTCCATAGACAGTATCTAAAACAAAATGCACAAACAGCAGATCAATAACGATCAATCATTTATGTGGCTTAAAAGGGGAAGAATGAAGCCAGAATCGGAAGCAGTTATCCTCTCTCATCACGTCTCGCAAAATTGTCAATGACTGTGTCACCGACCACCACTTTAAAAAAAATCGATGAATAATAAATCGTTCTGCACTTCTTTCAATGTACTCTTAAACACTGCTACAGTATTGAGACAACCGAATTTGATTTTGAAGTAGAATTAATTAATCACTTGAATATTCCCGGATTGTTAGGTAAACGTTACTGGTACTGTTCGAAGAGTTAAATGGTTCGACTGGTAAACGTTCGAATAGAAGGCCAAGTGAAGAATAAGACTTATGAAGAAAAATAGGAAATGTTAACAATCAAATACTCATATTTCTTTAAATACTTAAATGTATTCTGTGTTAATCTTCGCAGCAGATTGATCATTTAGAATATTTATAAAATGCAAAAACCTAGTACTGGGGATTTTTCGTTCGGTGTAGAAATAATCTGGAATACCCCTACGATTCTCTCTCGCATGTGTGCATTCATACAACATTGTGTCGTTCGTATATATCCCGACGTCACGCTTGGGAGTGTGGAGCTGCTCGACCGACCAGCTTCTCCCGTTTGTTGTCACCATGTCTTCCTCGCTCACCTCACCATCGTTTCTTGCCGTCGCAGGGAGGCTGTCCCCGCGGGGCAACGGACCGACCCGCCGTCAACTGAACAATTGATCAAATATTATATATTGAAACGTAGCGTGTTTCTAACGCCTCGCCATTGAATCGCGTGGACGCCGTTGCCGAGGCGGAACGGTAAATCAAATAATGAACGAGGTTAGCGAGAGAAACCGGGAGATCTGTCATGTAGCAGAGAGAACACCACGAGTGGGGACGCCCACGCGCCGGGAGAACAGGGGCGATTTTATGGACGATCGGATCGAATCCGTCTCCATCGCGGTGCGTAGTGCAAAACAGATAAGTGGAATTAAGTCAGCCCATTTGTGAAGCGAGCTGGGAAAGTGCAGAACTGTGAAAAGCAAACGAACACTGGAGGTAACAAGCGAAATTGACTCAACAACCACGTGAACGTAAATGAGGTGATAATTAGTAAAGGGGCAATTGCGAGTTGTATATCGTGAACAGTGACCTGAAAGGAAGAGGAATTATTGAAAGACAGTACGCAGAACAGGTTTTATAACCATCCATGAGAGAATTAGTGGTGTACGAGTGATTGCATAAACGAGTGATAGCCAGGAAAGCAACACTTACAACGAACACGTCCCATGGACTAGGACTAATTAGATCCACGATAAACGATGTATGTGGGGTGCTCCTAGTGACAACGAAAATTAGGGAGTGAATAGAATTTATAGCCAAGAGCTTAACTCCAAGGAAACTACAAGGCGGTAATCGCCGCGAGGCGGTGCGGCCCAGGCGGCTTATGAATCCATGGGTGGCTGGCGGTCAGCGAGGCGTGCCGAGCCCGGCGATGCAAACCCTGCGGGTGCGGACATCGGCGACACCAGCTGAGTGGAGGTCGACGCCCCAACCCTACCCTTTCGTACGGTCGCTCATGAGCGGAGGACTACTTATTTCGTGAGATGCACGGAAAAAAGGGAAACACCGTTTGATGAAACGGGAATTAGGAGAGAATGAATGAGACATAAACCGGTTTGGTAGGATAATTGTAAGGATTCAGGATTGTACAAGTAAGATGTTTACATTGTTATGATAATTTCGGTTATGCTAAGCTATGGTAAAAGGATAACATTTATTGCAAAAGTGATTTTTACTAATGCAGTAGGAGAAACAGAGCCAGTAGTTATGAAAGGGAGCTCCCATTGAGATCAAGGTGAAAGGAAATTCATGATTCTAGCAAGAAATGTTGCTACACTCTTTTACATTTCAATTTGTTATTGATATTTCATGATCTTAAAAAATAATATAAGTTCAGTTATTACACGTTTCAGAAATTATATTTTCAATCCTCGTGCAAATCCTACGGGCCCACTCACGAGGAAGAATACCCGCCCTTGCATCCTCACCACTCATCTATTATTTTTTTTATTATTTGGTTTACCAACTAACAAGCGCAATGTATGTATTATTTATATTGTGACGAGGCGGTTACCGCCGCATATACTATATACAATTTTGTATCAAGATCTTCGCTACGTTGTTAAGTATAAGACTCAGAATGTGTACGTACACCAGCATTATAATTGAAAAGTATTGGATGTCACGGTTATTTAACCGTGTGTGGAAAGAAAGAAACTTCTCGAAAAAAATCAGATGTATTACTGTAAAATGTCTCCTAAACTTTGTTACTGTAGTTCAATGTCATCTGCCGGCTGAGGTGGCTCAGCGCGGGTGGCAACTGATATGACCGCCATGCCTCTGACCAGGACGTCCTAGAGTTCGAGTTTCGACAATGGGGCGATTTTCGACACTAAATAGTTACGTGGAATTCAGCAGCTGTCTGGAGAAGAATTCTAGACGCCGACTTCTCTGATCAGTAGTTTTGAGTGTATCAATACCACGCGAATGCCAGAGCAATATGGGCCGAACAAACCAAAGAAACGGGCAACGGATCGAGTGCGAACTTTCCTAACATCACCCCCTCACTTACACACACATTTACATGCACTGCACGCAAAACCGGTCGGGAGTTAAGAGCTTGTCCGGCTGGGGCGGTGATCCGCTGGTGGAGATACCTGGATAGGGAATAACCCGCAAGCCGACGTGTAGGTCGATTACGTTCATCATTCAGCGGGAGAAGAACGGAAGCCGCCACTTCCGTTCTGATAAAACATTCACTACACTTGCTGGATTGATGAGCATAGCAGTCGGTGTGCCCGGAAACACGAAATAATAAAAATCATATGTTCACCACAGTGTTAATCCGCCCACAAATAGGGTTCTTAGCTTAACGGGAAAATCCTCACTCTAACTTTGAATTTGCACCAACGTGTCATTTTTAATTACGAGACAAGTAATAAATATGAATTAATTCTGGAAAAAGGTAGGTATTGGTATATTACTTGTATATGAAATATTTTACCTAGAAGCTGCGAAGAAACTTGTGACTTGGTATCCAAAACTAGCATAATAAGCATGTTCCATTATAGCCATTAACTGAATAGCATTATAACCTGTGAAATTATGAAAAAGAATTAATGCAAATTGTAACAATCTTAAAGAGATGATATTTTACTTCATTCATGAATAAACTTCCTTCTATTCATTTACAAGGACCTAAACATATAATCTTCACATACAACTACTATATCTCACTTGAAGGTCTGTGGACCTTCATCAACATAACACAGAACAACTCCAAAAGGAAATCAAGCCATTATCATGTATATCATGTAAAACAAATACAAACCTAACTTCTTGATGCGAGGAATGATATTTTGAGCAAATTCCAGGTATGTTCCAACTCTTGGTTCTGATGCTGCAATGCCCACATGGCATTCATAAATTCTCAGACTTAGTGGTTTCTTAGGCCTTTCATGACGGAATTGGTATTTCTGAATAAAAGATCAATTTATAGTATCAATGTCTAAACTTTTCAAGTTCTTCTCATTAAAATATTGATGATAGGTCTATACTTTTCCTTGCCATCAATACTTCATTTCATTCGTTTCTAATACAGAGCAACATGTATCATAGTACATGAGAACAAAGATATAACAGCTGCAGTATCAAGAGTAGAGGAAAGAATAAGTATAACTACTTGTGTAATAAGTTTTTGGTTGTAATAATAGCACAAACTTTCTTGTATTATTGGTAACGGTTACGTAACACAATATTACAAGATCTAACACTCTAACACTCCAACTATCCCTTGAAAAACTCCCAAGCAAAGGGAGCGCAGGTGATATTGCAATATCATAATATTTCTTAGCTGTTACTACTGGCGGATCCATGGGAGCCATGACCCCCAAATGGCCTAGTTTTCTTTTATCTTGCTTTTTTTGGATAAAATTTATTTAAATATTTATTTTCAAATTATTCCATTATTTAAACAATAATATTTTAGTGTAATATCTACCATATACAAATAATGAATAATAAACATAAATGTTTATTATTTAACAAAAATCTACGATGTTCCCCCTTGCCCCCCAAAAAATGATCAGCTGGATCTCCCCCTGACCGTTACCAATAATACAAAATAATATCTGATGAAACACCACTTTTTTCTTTACATTTTACAGAGAAATTGATATATAAAACACACTATCTACTTCAAAGAGAATAGATGGTTCAACGAATTTGAACATCGATAATAAACATGTTTGATGGGTACCAAGACTTTTTAATGTCTCGTTTACTACTACGCAGTATTTAATATAGTATACGTAGTATATTACACATGTATACCTACTAGTACGTATATACTATATTAGGCACTTTACTACGCCGTAAAATACATAGAAAACTGCGTAGAATACGGTGGGTCTTTGAGAGCGAAAAATGTTTTTTTGCTATTTGTACACACGGATTTGAACGTAATTGCCCCTGACGTAAATTAGCTGTTGCGGTGACATCCAATCAGGAGGTTGAACGTCAGAGAAGTGATGTGTAAGCTCCCGATTGGATGACACCGTAAAAGCTGACGACCTGCCAACTGCAGCTCTAAATAAATCAAACGTACGTGTGGTTAGCACATACAGATCCCTACGCCGTATTCTGGTCTTCTCAACCCGATAAGTGATGTAGTAAACGAGTATATTAAAAATGTAGTGTAGTCACGTTTTGTGGGCCCTGATCTCCACAAAGCAATTTTCCAAAAAAAAGTCCATCTGTCCATGCCTGAACATCGCTAGCGTCTAAACCGTACACAGATTTTCACACGATATGCCAGTTGTGCGCCCTTTTAATTTGAGACGGACATATTAATTTTTTTGAGGGGTGTTCCTAGGTTCTTTTTTGACGGGTGTCTCTAGAATATAGCATTTAAGGGATAAAAATCAGAACACTATTTTTTCTGAATGTACACAAATTTTGTAAGGGTAATCTAAGTTGGGTTAGACTACCAAGCTTGTGTTAAGAACCTATCAATATATTTTTCCCTCACCTAAAATTGTTAAGAGAACAAACATGTAGAATTTCACATCATTTGGAGAAGAGTTAATTTTTACTTTTTACATCTACAAAGATTTGACAGCACTGTATGTTGACATAAAGAAACCAACCTCTATTAGTGATGCATCATGTAAAGACACATTTATATAATCTATGGCAGGATCATTTGAAAAAAAAAGTTTTATTAATAGCATGTGGTTCGGCTGCGAGGTCGGGCCGCCGCTGGTAGGCCAAGGCCATGGCCCGTCCACGGACCGACGCGCCAAGTACAAACAAAATAACATGCGTTTGCCACATGACCTAGTAACTACTAAGCCTGGCCTCCATTTCTTATTTTGATTACTGACAAATAAAGAATAAGAAAAGGATGTAGGTACCTCTTCTTGAGGAGGGTTCCACATACGTTGTTCGTAGGTAAAGCCTTTTTCTTTTGGAGGTTGAACGACATACACAGCCCATGGCGATAATCTGTCGAGCAATTCACCATTGATTGTCTGAATAATTATCTGAAAAAAGGAAGTAGATATTAAGTAACTCAAACATTAGAAAAAATATTTAAGATTAAAACAGAACAACAAGACAAGAAAGAAAGCCAACGCACACCAGATATTTTTTAAATATGTAATATCCCTCGTCTTTTTGGACTCATTTAAAACAAACGGTTTTAAAAATTTACCTGTGGGTATTGTTTCTTTACTATACTGTAGGCAGCAACAACGTTTAGGAACCTTGGTTTTTCCTCATCTTCACGTCTTCAAATGACCATGAATTATTTAATGCTAATATAGTATATTGTTATGGAGAATCTTTTATGACCGGGATATGTATGAGTTTTCAAGAACATGTTTTGCAGATATTTAGAGTAATCAGGATGTAATGTGCGTAGCAATTCAAGGATATACGCGTAAGCGAGGAGAAACGTAAGAGAATCGCAAAATAAAATACTGGTTCAGCAACAACACATGTATGTTTGTATGTATGTATGTATGTGTGTATGTATCCGTACAGAAACCAATGAAGAATATGGAAGGTCTGAAAATGGGAGCAAACCCAGGTTACTGAATCGTTCTTGCTACCTTCAATAAAGTCAAGAAACAATTTTATATTAATGGGTTTTGTATCTAACAGACCAAGTGACATTACGAATGTGTGGTATGTATGTATGTATATAACCAGATGACAATGAAACACTAGAATCACTAGACATTTAACATACATCAAATAAGACAATTTAACTTACACTAATAACATCACAATAATAATTCCGAAACCTATACAAAATACACTCTTCAATTTAATGTCGAGAATCACTGAAATGTTTCTAGAGGCGCATATTACCCCAGGTATAATACCTGTCGGCCTAGCCATCAGAATGAGTTGGAATATGAAATGCATTATGCGTAGTATTGAGGCATTTCGCCTCGACATGAAACAAGTGGATGACGGAGATACTTCACATCCCAGCAGTGGCGGCTGTTCCGTTAGGACTCTTGGGGGAACCTTCTCCACAAAAATCAATCACGGATAAGCAGCAAAACATATTAAAATACCACTAAATCGATGCATTGTGTGCATACCACCAGCTCAAAGTAAGGTATTCGAGGGACATGGGGTAATGATAGAAAATTGCCAAAATTTTCGCCGCTAGACGTTTTTAATTGGGCTTCAAGAACGAAAATATCCCAGTGGCAATATATTCTAATGTACAAATTAAAAATTCACATATTTTCGTTGACAATTTTTCTAAGGCGCATATTTTGACGTTTTGATAAAATGAAAGCATTTGCTCCAGCTGAAGTAACTGAAATATTGTGTCGTTTTTCAAAATACACGGCTATTTGTGAAAAATTGCAACACTAGTATATTAGTGTATACACAAGAAGTGATTAAATTTGCAAATTTGCAGAATTGCGCTGGCCTAGCAGCGCCCTCTTGTGTGTGACAAGTCAGGAGTTACACCACACCTAGTCCGTGTATAGCCGTCAAACAATGTGAAAGCGTACAAGTACGTGTCAGATGCCTCATTGACGCCATCTTATTGAGTTCGAACAGGGCAGAATGAACGGGACTCCGGGAAGCGGGTTTGTCATACCATGACATTGCAACTCGAACGGGGCGCGCAGTACAACAGCGATGCGTGTGTGGAACCAGAGGGTAGCGGAGGGTCGTACATAGTGACGAGCGGGTACACACAATGTGACCACAGTGCGAGATGACCGCCAGTTTGTCCGCATGGCCGTAACCGATGGAAGGGCGCCGTTCACAGAGTTCGCTTGACTTTGGAGCAATGCAACGGGTGTGGTCATGTCTCCGTCGACGGTTCGACGCCGTCTCCTGAGGTCTGGGTTGATGGCACGCATACCATTGCATCGGATTCCTTTGCCCAGAAATCAACAACGTCTCAGACAGCAATGAGCACGTGAACGTGTTCACGTTTCGCTTCAATTTGTGGTATAGTGATGGCCGCGTACGTGTTCAACGTTACCGTGATGATCGCAATCTACCAGCCTGCATTATTCCACGCCAAAGCGGACAAACGCCAAGAGTGGTTTGGTGAGCCATTGGCTACAATGTGCGATCTCGCCCTACACGTATTGAGGGCAATTTGAACAGAAAACGCTACATCAGGGAGATTTTAGTACTCGTGGTACTGCCCCTCCTGCAAGCAGCTCCACATGCCGTATTGCAGCAGGACAATGCCTGACCGCATGTGGCAAGGAATGTGCAAGCTTTCTGCGAAGAACGACGGGTACCACTGCTTCCCTGGCCTGCACGTTCGCCTGACATACCTCCCATCGAACGTGTTTGGGATATGTTCGGTCGGCAACTTGTTCGTTTTGGTCACCTTGCAGCCACTGTCAATGTTTTGTGGGCATAGAAACCGCGTGGCAGTGTGTTCCCCAGCAGAATAGTCAGGCTCTTTTTGAATCCAAGCCACGACGTCTAGAGGCTCTAATGGCAGCACGTGGCGGCTTTACAGCGTACTAAATTCTCAAGGTCAAAATGCAGGCACAGTTCTGTAATTCTAATAATTTGTCTATTATGATATTCCTAATCTGTAGAACAAATTTCATTGTAATAGTATGTCTCCTTCTTGGTGTTGCAATTGTAACAAACATCAGTGTAATTCCACTAGTTTTTAGGTACGTGTTAAGTGTTTCAATAAAACGGCGTTTAAAAAGGTAAGTGCCGCATATATCCAGAATTTTCAATGTTTTATTTGAAAAGCAATTGAATTACAATTTTTCATGATTTTGAAGTTCCAAATATAGGAAACTAATAAAATTATCATGCTACAATTTCCTATTCTAAATCCAACTAGCACACGTACAAATGTTCAAACATACAATAAAACCATCAAAATAATACACGTAATAAATAATGTTAGATTATTTGTGAACAATTATAGTTTATCTCATATCATAATATCACATTAAGCAGATAATATTGATTTCAAAGGTTTTTTAACTTATATTTTCTGTAAACATAATTGTAAAAGTTCAAAACCATAACATAAATATCTAAAACATGAAACTTTCATTTTATGCTCTTAGTTGTTACAAATCCAGTTATAAATTTATAGAAAATAAAAGTTCATTTTCAATTCAAAGATTTGTTAATTTGATAATTATTCTTGAACGCGGTTATCGCTGATACAATTTCATCAATCTGAACGTGCTGAGCGATATTTCAGAGGATGCCACGAACAGTGATGTCAGAGGAATTCATAAAGCGTTGAATTAGGTTTTTTAAGCTTTCATTTCCAACGAACAAATAATTAGCAATATACCTCTAGGCATGAAATCCAGAATACCCGATTGTTAGTTTTTGATAGATCGGCGTTGTTGAGTGACAAAGTTCTAATGTGTTATTAATGTTGAATTGTAAGAATTATTTTTTGATTTAAAGTAATTGTTAAATTTAGCCAAATAGACTTCATATTTTCTAAAGGAGGGTGTGTCAGGCCAGGTCTGTAGATGAAGAGAAAGTATTAATATTGTAGCGGTACAGAATTATTCAGATAAATTAAATTGAGTAAAGCAGACTTAAGAAATATTGTACTGAAGAAAAAACATACGGCGTCACGCGCAGCCCCTTTCTTGCAACAGCCACGGTCCCCTGACCCACTTCGGAGGTTTATGACACCCCACCCAACAACCGAACAAAGGGGTAAACTGTAAAAACGCCCAGCGGGTTACAGTGCGGAATACTCCGAAACGCCTCGTCTCTATCGCGGTGAATCCGAAGCAATAACAGTAGCGGAAGCCCCTCAGAGACGTGCCTACTTTCGAAACAGAACGAAACAATTCTATACTCCGCCGGAGCCCTAATTGGCCAAATTTAAGTGTTCAACGCCATCACCTTTAGCCAATAGCGAAGCGATCTTTGTAGGGAGCAAGAACATATGAGGAAAGGGTGGGGATAAGAGTTACCTCGAGCGTGTAGGAGAAATAAAAAATTATGAGGAGAGATTTCTCTGGGGTGGGAGCCGGTCGCGGAGAGAGGTGGGTGCACCTCTAGGACTTGCCATTCACTGTTGAAGTTTTTTTATTAGAGAGGTAAGTGCAAAGCACTTACGGGGGAATAGGCGAATCCTTTGCCACTGCTTATTAGCATAAAATTCGCATTCGCTGAATTTGTTCGAGAGGAACCGCAGACGCTTCGCGGAGGACAATTTTTGTTGCTCCGCACTTGTATCGAGGGCCAATACACCCCGGCATCTATACTCCGCCGAAGCAGCCTCCAGACGGCCCTTCGCTGACGTCACTGACCGCCGCAGCCGCCGCCAGCCGCGCCGACGCCCTGCTGGTGAGGGTGCGCCCCGACCCATTCATGGAAAGGACACCCCGGCCGCCACAAGCTTCCGTTCGCGCGCTCGCACGGGCCTACTGAGCGCATTTGCCACGGAGGGTTTCCAGGCAACGTATCAGGGTCAATAGCCCTTAGAGACTTGTTAAAGCGGTGCCGCGCAAGGCACAGAAAGATCCTCAGGGACAAATTTGCAATTTAGCTATAGAATAATTTTTGTACCACTCTTCTTTAGTTGTAAGTTCTTCTAATTTCTAATTTTTATTTTATTTTATTCACAATTTTCTTTTCATCGATGTAACTTCCTGGTACAGCCCTGTCCAGGAATAAACGTTGTCTTTTACCAGTAATCAAATTGTTTATTTTGAGTGCCCATGCATGCTTTAGCTTACAATGCCTTCCATCACTGAATCTTATGTTCAGGAAATAGTTACAATTGGCTAGTTTTTATAGAGTAAGGAGTAAGGGACCGGACCGACTGAGCTAGAACCGGGCCGCTAACCGCGCGTTTCCCTACGCCGGGAGGTGTTACAATATGTTTATTGAAAATAGTCACGTGTAGAGGTTTCACCCGAAGCCTAGCGAGGGCCAGTCGCGTACGCGGAATAATTTTGAGAAAAGTTATTAAATACATAAAATATCGATTAGTCTAGGACATTTCGGGATCATTTGGGAACTTAATCGAACGATAATCGAA